TAAGGCTATGAATTATTTTGGTGGCTCCCATTAGTGAACAAAGACCAGAACAAATTTTCTGAGCAGCTGCTTCTTTATTTACCAACAGGAGCGTATCCAAACTTAAAAGTTGTATTTAATTATCTTTTAAGTTTTTTATTTGATCCTATAAAACCAGGTTGTAGAAATCAACAATCCACTTGCATTTGACGTCATTCTGATCAAAAACATACAAACATCTTTGAACACTTAAGACAGACAAACATATAACACTTAAGACAGACAAACATATAAGACAATTTTAACGAGTGCACTCAGATGGTTTTGACCAATTGAATTATAAATTCTTTTTGTTATGACTAGTCAAAATTTTTGCAGGTCAAAATTAACAGAGATCTCTTGTAGAATTAGGGTTAAAGGAATGAATACTCTTCTTGACTATAAATGTAAACCTTTTATAACAAACTTGAAACCAACAAGCAAACATTTTATAAATCATTTCCATAAACATTCTCTACATTCTTAGGTAAAGACAAGAGGAACATACAAAAACCTTTCATGTTAAAAGAAAAAAAGTATAACTCTTACTTATAGCTTTCCTAATATTTTTGTCTCATTTACTATTAACCTTCTATAACAAACTTCAGCTTAAAGTGTCCTTTTTCTGCTTTTAGATTGTTACATCTTAAAATTTGACTGGCTGCCAGTAGAACAGTATTAACCTTGAATTTTTTAGAAAAGAGCAAGTTAACCCTATAATCACAGTGTAAGAATTTGCAATGCACAAGTAGTGTTACCAAAGCAGCTGACTGTCGCAGAGCAGAAGGGTGAGCAACTCCTAGGCTGGAGCAAAAGAAGCCAAACAATGTAAGACAAAGACTTATGAAAACCAAACAGAAAGAAGAACCAGGGACTCTGTCAGGGAATCTCCTTAATCTCCTGTTCCAAAACCAGAAGAACACTCTGACCAGAGGGTCTTGAGGAGGGGAAAACATTAACCTCCCTCCCCATAAACAGAGAGACAGAGTTCCTACCAGAGGGGCAAAGAACTTCTTTGGCCCCTGCGGCCCGGAGTCCACTAGCACATCTGCCTGGACCTCCCTCCCTCCAAAATGATCCCGATCACAAATTCAGACATTAACAGGAAAAGAAGGACACAGAAGCAAAGAAAAGGAAACCAAGGACAAACTATTGCTACAAATTTTAATAAATTACACAATTGCTGGTGTCCTACTCTAGCATCACCGACACACAGTAAATCTTCAAGCATATGTACAAAAAGCATGCAACTCTTGCCTGTTCCCATTTTTAATATTTATAAGAAAACTCACCGCTCCTCTTCTGCCTTCCTTTTGAAGGTCCTCTTTTTTCTTTTTGTCGAGATCTCCTTTTCAGTGTGAGTTTTGAGAGCGGTGTTTAACAAAGCCCAATAAGAAAAGGTACTTTCTGGAGAACGATGGGGCTCAGCCACAAGGGCCTTATTCAACTGTTTTCCCACTCTCTCCCATACTTTAGCGTTTATTTCTGCCTCATCACACAGCCATGGACAAACTGTGTCCAGAATCTTAACAAAGGCCTCTAATTGTGCCCTTTTAACTTTTACTCCTTGTGCCTTCAATAGGCTCTGAATAGAATTTTTTTTTTTATATAAAATCTTCCCACGGACTTGACACCCTCTACCTTCTTTCACTTTTTCTTACCTTCTTTCACTTTTTCTTCGCGAAGTGAACGGTAGACTTACTGCGAGGATCAGGCGCAGCGCTCAGTCCTCCGGAGCACCGTCCCTGCCTTCGACCTGGGTCCGGGATTACGTATCCTCATCAACTTTCAGGTCCCTGTTCGGGCGCCACTTGTCGCGAGCCGCAACGTCAGGATCCTGCCAGCAGGTCCTAAACCTGAAAGGACGAGGAGAGACGGGAGGCACTTTTCTTCTCATGTTCCTTGCTTGCTTTATTACAGAACCTCTTCCTTTTTTTTATACTGTCCCGCTGCACGGGAGCGAGAGTACCGCCCACACATTCCGGAAGGAAACCAACCCTTACAGTTGCTAGGCAACAGATCAGACCACCAGCTGAACTAGCCCGTTGCTATGGGCGACGGCACGTCCACACTGCGGGTGAATCACAGGTCAGTACGGCTGTGCTCATGTCGTGTTCCTTTACAATGCTCTCCATAAGAGAACACATCCTCTTTTCTGCTGGAAGGAATTTCTTGTTCTGGTGCTTACATAAGACATGTCGAGGGTCCTGGGGCTTTTGCCTTCGCGGCACGGGGGTTTTTGTGTTGTCCTGGGAAGCCGCTATGTCCTCGCAGGAAACACTCTTGTCATGATGGAACAAGGTCTTGATATCGAAGTTACTGGAGGCAAGAGACACATCAGTGGGGAGGCCCTGAACCTGGCTCGGCTTCCTGCTCTCCTTTTCAAACTTCAACTCTTTAAACAGTTTGTTTCCACAGCCTGATGACCTGAGGTCTTGGGGTACTGCTGTTCCTCTTAGAGGTCTTTCAGTGGTCAGGGAAGTTTCTGGTTTGCTTGTGCTCACATCTCTCACTAGTACGCCTTTTGATTTAGTGGTTAAGATGTTACCAGGCTGTGACTGAAGAACACAGAGCTCTTGTGCTTTGAAAGTCTCCCTGGACTTGTTACACACAGAGAAATGTTCTAACTTTGTCGTCATTTTGCTCTGAAGCATTTCTGTGTCACTCCTAGAACTCATTCTCTTATCCTTTATCTCAGGTCCAGCCCCAGCCAGCCTTCTGAGAAGCCTTGGGCTTCTTCTCTTGGTTTGTGAAGTCTGCTGCTGACTTGCTTTGTCTGTGCCGTGGTGTCTAGGGGGCGTAAAGGTCTGTGTGCCATCCTTCACCGCCCAGATGTTCGCAGCAAGCTCATGTTTGGTCGAAGAATGTGACCATCTCATGGCCCCTTGTCCTTCCTCGCCCGCAGGTGAGGAGGCAGGGCAAGGACCATTAAAAACTGAATTGTTATCACATTTTGTGCTTGGAAAGCATTGGCCCCTTCTGTAGGGGACTTGCGGATCCCAATTTTAGGATGCACCCCAGAAACACTGCTATTGTCTGACGTGAGAAAGTGGGGATGAAAAAGGGCCTGACATGGGTCCTTGTTTGTGTTGAAGATTTCTGTGGATTTCAGGACCTTGGGTGGGAGGCCATACACCATTCTGCTATAAAAATTCTTAATATGCTCTTCCAACATCTTTTGCTTGCTGTAACCGATGAAGGAACTATTCTGAGATGTATTCAGGTATCTGTCCTTACCCACCAATGGCGCCGGATGTCTGTCATTGATTTGCTTGGGGGATTTCTCAGGTAAGGAAGGTGTCAGATTGGTAGAATACCTTGACCTGTTCACAGTGTCAGGGATGTGACCCTTACAGATTTCCTCAAATTTCCGGCACAAATGTACTTCTAAGTCTTTTGTAAGTCGTTTCTGTCTTAAACTCACACACGATGCCTGTGAGGTTTTTCTTGTCAACCTCTCTGGGTGACTTTCCAGTTTTGTCTCTAAGTCGGAGCCCAGAACACTCTCTGGAGTCTCACCTCAGGCACTCAACAGATTATCTTTGGAGCCGATCTCTGGACTATGTCCTTGTGTCTTCCTCGTTCCCGTCTCCAGAGGAAGCATTTCTTGGTTTCTCTCATGAGTGCTGGCTTGGCTCAAATCGAAATTATTGAGATCTTTGCTGCTCTGATTCTCAAGCAAAGACAGGCAGGAAAGCCCACGACTACTCTTTGACTCAGAGGTCACAGGCCCTGTCCTTGAGGACACACCCATACCACTGATGGAGACCTGAGAGCTCTGGGGGGCAGGTCCCACTGGTGTTGGATGAGCTTCTCTTGAAGGTGGTGCTCTACTTTCTTGGGCTCAGTGTTTAAGGTGGAATTTTTTGGAAGGATGGAGCCTGGCATATGAGCTTCGGAGGACTGGGTGACTGACGAAAGCTTGAAAGCTGAAGGACAGACATCTTCCTGGGATTTTGGGACCACAGGGGGCAAACCCCACACACTTTCCTGTACTCTGTGTAGTGCATTATATTCTAGGTTGTGGATTTCAGATAGTGGGAGAGATTGTACCTCACTCTGGGTGCTATGAAAACACACTTCCTGGGATCTGTTCTGGTCTAGAGGAGAATCTGGCAGCACTGGAGTTGGGGACTGAAGCTGGCCCTGTGCCTGCACAAGATGGAGACGTTGGGCTTGAGATTGGGCCAGGGTATGTGACAAGGATTGAGGTTGGACCTCAGGAAAGGAGAGGGGAGGTGTGTGTGGAAGGACTGGGGACTCGTGGGCTTTGGAGATGTCGGAGACTTCACTGAAGCAGTCACCTGAGGTAGGGACAAGAGGATTCAGTGACTGTCTGGGCAGACCCCGAAGACGGCAGAACTGGCTACATTTTTGCTCTAAATGATCTTCCAAGTTCTTAGGACCTGCAAGCTTCTGATTCATGTGTATCTCTTCTGGTTTTCCTTCAATGATCCAAACAGGAAAGGTGGGTGCAGAGTACTGCTGATCTGCAGCTAACTCTGGCCTTTCTCCTGAAGTAATTAGTCGGTAGTCTGGCTCATGTAGTTTTGCAAAAGATTTTGTTCCCTTTTCTTGTTCACTGCACATGAGGAAATCATCTGTCTTTTTGATATCTCCCTCAAGGAGAGGGGGGTTGTCAGATGTGAGAAAACTTGGGGATCTAGGTTTTACCTGGTAGGCTGTGCTGTGCTCCCCAAAGGAGGCTTCCGCAGAACTGAGGTCATCAGAGCTATCATCAAGGGACAAGAGTGGCTTCTGGTTGGAGAACAGTTTCCTTTTCTTTGGTGTGATGTGGCAGGGATGGGGGAGGGGCAAGTGTCTCTGATGGAACTGGTCCACTGGGAATCTGGACTCTAAGGGAGGACTGGGCTCTGGTGGCACAGAGTCACCTTGTGCTGAGGGTGAAACTGGGTCTACTAAAGAGGTGACCTGGTTAGGTGGGAGGACAGAGGACGGAAGCAGAAAAGGCTCAGTCAAAGAGGCTGGAGTTGGATGCCCTGGAGAAAGTGCTGAACTAGCAGAGGTCTGACTAAATCATGACTTAGTTACAGAAACGATGGGTGACAAACAAGACACAGAGTCAGCAGCATCTTCCAGGAATGCCCGAGAGAGCAGACGACTGACCTTAGCTGTTGTTGTATTACACACTTCGCAGAGGGGGTCTGGACACAGCAGCTGTCGAAAGTGTGTAATGTCACGGTGCCGGTCCAGAGGGCTGCAGGAGTCAGAAAGTACAAGGCTGTAGCCGCAGCCAGTCCATGGAAAGGAAGGCCTTCTGTCCTGGTTGGAGTGGAGCCACCTCTTCCCACTGCCCCACAGCCATGACTTCATAGAGCCCTCCATAGCTCAGGGCTTCGTTCCCATACCTGTTGCTAGGGCTGCCCTGCCCATCACCACTAGAGAGTACACTGATTCTCTGGGATGCATAAAACATCTAGGAAAAGAGCTCACGGAGGAAGGGAAGTGAAGAGTCACCTTTTCAGAGCAGAAAGCAGCTTCCTCCCCTCCTCTACTTCTCCTTGGCTTGTCCTCCAGCCTGGAAAAACAGGACAAGGGGATTCATGTAGTGAAGGTAGAAACGCAAGGTTCTGAGATAATTTGTGGAAAACAGGGTTTTAAATTGTCAAAGCACTAAGAATCAGTAGAAAAGGTGAAATGGTGGCAGATGATGTTAAGAACATCCCACGGGTCTGTGGCTTCGTTTATAAAGTACCTGCACATACGTCATCCCCTGTGTGCTCAAACTAACAAGTGAGACACAGGAATGAGAGGTTACATCACTGATTAAAAGCCAGGCACCCAGAAATAAAGTACCTTACACAATGCCCGGAGGTAGAAGATCTGACCAAGAGACCTTCCTGCACATCTCAGGACATCTCACGTGACTACCAGCTGGACACTGCGCACATCTCTGCTCCCTCACTGCTCCAGATCCACGGCAGGCAGAGCGAGGCTCTACTGCCTTCCTGTGGGCCTCTCCTTGAGGGCTCTGTGTTCTGACAGAGACCGTGTAACAACTGCCATCTGCAGCAGTCACGGACCCAGGGCTTCATGGAAAGACCAGTGGTGTCATTCTTAGCAAGATTGGGTAAGAAAGGAAGAAACATACTTCCCACTCTCCCACTTCCCCCCGTTGTGGCTTTGGCCTGTTGCTGAAAAATTGAATGAAAAATAAACTGAGGGTCTGGAACTCATCTTTTGCTTCTTTCTATAAGCTCAGACATTCATTTCCCAAGAATCATATGACTGTTCCTCTTAATTGATGGAAATCTGTTCCTTTTACTAGTTTTGAAAGATGACCAGATAGTTTCCATTTTATCCACTCGAGAAAAATCCGAGGAGGGTTTTGCCACGAGACCTATGTCATTCTAGTCACAAGTCCTCTGCTAGAGGGTGGCAGGAGCCCCCTCAGAGGACCTCGATCCTGGGGCAGAGCTCAGGCTCTGCTCTGCTAAGACACTCCTCGAGTCCGGCATTGTCTCCTGGTCATCCCGACAGGGAGGAAGGCCTGGGGAGGACACCAGACCTGGGAACGTGGCTCAGCATTGAGGGTCAGGACAGACTGATCTCTGAGGAACACAGTCTGTGACTGAGCCAGTCGGACCAGCGTGGCGCTGTTTGATTGTATCACAGAGAGGTAGTGTGTGGGTTGGATAGATGGGAAGGAAACGTTAGGTCTCCTGATCCCTTCCCCCTGCCTACCCTCTTCCCCTTACAGAGGTGGCCTACCTTCCTCTCAGACTTGCCATTGGGGAAGTTTCCTTGGCTAACTAAATGCATTTCATAATTTGAGAATTGAAATGGGAAACAAGAACAAAGACTCTCTCCTGGGGATTCACCCACATTTCCATACCTTTTGGACATCTTTGTTTTTCCAGAGGGTTGGAAACTGTGGTTTCAGCAACAAGTAGCACAGGAGCAGAAGAGAGAGCAACCATGCTACAGTCAGAAAAGTGTAGTCTGGGTCTGTATCCAAAAAAGTTGAGCCAAAGCTCAGCCATGGCTCTGTGTGCCTATTCAGAAAAGAGAGAACATTCTCCATAACCTGAACAGAGAGGCTGCCTGAGGCAACTGAGTTCCGAGGGTGAAGGAGCATAACTATATATCCCTGCTTGCGTCACAGAGCATGAGTCATAAAGGGATTCTTCGAGGGAGGGGCACTCCTGCTCCACCCTTTCCTCTTGACCTGTTTACCTCAGGGAACTGCTGTTTGTTCCATCTTTGATCCTGAGTTTACCTAAGTCGCCCTTGCCCATTACATCCATTGACACGGACCTCACCAATTCCGCTGCCTACAAAGTCTGGCACACTACCTGTGACTTCTGCCTGTACCTGGACAGAGGTCCTCAGATTCATCTTATCTCGGAATGCTTTTATCTCACACTAACTCGGATATAAAAGTTGAAGTTCTTTTATACTTATGTGGTTTTGTGAATGTTGAATAGTAAATGTTTTTGTTTCAGTCAGCCTCTAGTCACATCAGATGGTCTGATTTAATCAATTAAAACCAATTATTATTCAAAATTCATAAAAATAAACTGGGAAGGACAGAGGAAGGGAAAAATCATGCTGCAGTTTGCCTCAGCAAGATACCAAGTCTATGTCGTCAACCTTGGTGGCCCACTTAGCCAGTGAATTTGCCAGCTCCTAGTCCAGGCCTCAGCAGGCATGATACATCTTCTGTGTTCACTGGCACCCTCTCCTGCATTCTCTCTCCTTCCCTCTCCTAGGAATTGGTCACTTACAATCACTGAAGATGATCACTCAAAAGGAAGAAAGGCCTTATTAGTCTCGCAGTTTTGGAGGCTTCGGGCCTGTGGATTCAACCACCTGTGGGTGGAGGATCCGCCTCAGGGCAGCACATCATGGCTGCTCACCCAATGGCACACAGGGTGGGGAACACAGGAAGAGAGCACAGTCCCTTGATCCCATTCAGAGGCACAACTTCAGCCTCCAGAAAACATTCTACTAGGAATCTCCCCTTAAAATTTCCACCCCTTCCCGCCAGTGCCAAGCTTAGAATGAAGCCTCTGAGTTAGAGATCTCTGTAGTGTCCCTCTGAGGACTCATCAGTGCCAGAGACATATGGACTCTGCAGGACAGGTGCCTCTGGTGCTGGCTGAACCTCTCCATGGTATTGCTCTACAATCTTCATAGCTCACTGTTAAGAGAGGACACAGGTTTGAACGCGGGCCTTTGAAGATTGTCTGACCAGTGAAACGTTAGGCCCTGGAGGAGAGAAGTCTTCCTGGGGTTTTGGACCACAGAGGTAACCCCCACATGATTTCCTGGAATTTGTTGTATTCCAACAACATCCTTTCCTGAACGTTGTATTCCAGGTGGTGAAGTTTTGACTGCATGAAAGACTGTGCCTCACTCTAGGTTCTATGAAGACTACTCCAAGGATCCCAATGTAGCATCCAGGATTGAAGCTGGGCCTGGGTCTGCAACAGAGGAAAACACTGGGACCGAGACTGGGCAAGGTTGAGGGTGGACCTTAGTTAGGGGAAGAGCTGAGAGGTATGAGACTGTGCATTCATGGGCTGTGGCAGAGGTAGAGTTTGTACTGAAACAGTCAACAGTGGAAGAATGGTTTCTGAAGGCAAGAGTGACAGACTTTAGGGACTCACTGGACAGAGAGGGGAGACGCAGGGAAAGCTGAATGTGGGCTGCTATTGCACATACAGCTCCTCTGGTTTGCCTTTTCTGCTCCACAAAAGTAACAGAGACTGAGGAGTTCCACTCTTCACCAACAGACTAACATCCCCAGAAGAATTCAACTGGTGCTCTGGTTTGAATTGTTTTGGAAAGGATTCTGTTTTGTCATTTCCTTCCAAGTCAGGAAATCTCCTCATGTTCTGATTTGTCTCTCCAGGAGGGCCCCAACATCAGGTCTGAGAAACTGAGAAACTGGAGATCACTAAGCTCTCCAAGGTAATTTTTACTTAATTGCATTTTTAATTTTTTTATTGCTAGTATGCAAAGATATGATTCATTGTGTGCAATGATCTTGCATCTTGCAACCTTGCTGAACTCATTTATTAGTTCCAGTGTGTCTTTAAATGTTCTTTTTCTCCTCCTCTGTCTTCTGTCCTCCTAGGTTTATCATTATACGGATACTGTTATGCTGGGTGGTATTCCACAGCTCTCTGAAGTTGTGTTCATTTTTCTTCTTTCTGTATTTTAGGTTGGTCTATCTCAATTTGTTTATGATGAAGTTTGCTGATTACTTCTTTGGCTACTTCAAATCTGTTCCTGAGGTCCTCTGATGAATTTTTCACTTTTGTTATTGTTATTTTTCAACCTCAAAATTTCTATTTGGTTCATT